CCTTCATAATCTGGCCTTTGTTTACTTCTCCTGCCTTAATATTTGATACCCTTCCCCATTCCTGTTCTGTTTGAAATATTTTGAACGAATAGTAAAACTAATAATTTTTATTGGTATAATAATCATTTTAATTATTACCACTGCTGTTAGTATTTACTACACTCTTGGTATGCACAAAATACTGCTATACGCACTGTATTCACATTAGCTTATGCAGTCCTCCTGACTGCTGTGGTAGGTGCTGTTCTCATTTTAAATGTGAGAAAAATGAGTATGGGACCAGTCAAATTACTTTCCCCAAATCAAGCACCTAATGAAAGCAAACCGTAAGTTGTATGGAGGACCAAACTCTGTCTTTTAAAATGCAAGGGTTTTTGTTTGTTGCTATTGAATCCTATCCTACATTCGTCTGTGCATTCTTTGAGGGCAATTGGTGTGTCTCCAATAGCCAGCAGAGTGCTTAGCACTTAGAAGGCCATCAAGGAATCTGCTGGGTGAAGAACAAAGGAACTTTCCTTTCTTTACTCAATTATAGCAGTGCTAGCATCTAGGAGAGAAAGTTTGGCTATATAGTCGTCGTCGTAGCCCAGTTAGAGATGGAAATGGCAGTACTTCCTAAAACAAATGTCTCAAAGGAACAGGGTCCTTGCAGCCAAGTCCACAGAAATGCTCAAAGTAGGATCAGCACAGAATTATTCAAGGACATACTGAGCAGCTTGATGGAAAGAGCTTTGCACACTATTCTGCTTGTCTTGGTCATACAAGCCAGGTATTCTTACTTTAATAATACACTTTTCCCCCCCCCCTTGAGACAGAGTCTCACTCTGTCACCCAGGCTGGAGGGCAGAGGCCTGATCTCGGATCACTGCAAACTCCGCCTTCCGGTTTCAAGCGATTCTCTTGCCTCAACCTCCTGAGCAGCTGGGATTACAGGCAACTGCCACCAGCCCAGCTAATTTTTGTATTTTTAGTAGAGACAGGGTTTCACCATGTTGGCCAGGATGGTCTCGAACTCCTGACCTTGTAATCCACCCACCTCGGCCTCCCAAAGTGCTGGGATTACAGGCATGAGCCACTGTGCACAGCTGATAATATAATTTTAAAACATAGACATACCAATATTCCTTGAGATATATAAGGTCATCTTATATGCATACAATTAGGAGGTACTCTTGATATTTGCCTGCAGTTTAAAAGATTAACAATAAAAATAGTAATAGTAGTGAAAATAATAAAAATAGTAACACTTTATTACATGTCTACTCTATATCTGATGCTATCCAAACATTACCTGTAGTCTCACAAGAACACTATTAAGCAGAAATTAATATTAGCTCCATTTGACAGAGGAAGAAACTGAGAAATAGCTTGCCCAAGATTAGCTGTAACTTGAAAGAGCAAGAATTCAAATTTAGTTTGTTCTGACTCCAAATTATTTTCATACTGTTTCTAAGTAATTCTCGAAACATCAACATATTTTATCTTAATTTTAAATAGATTATTACGTGTGGCTATTAATTAAAGGCTTATTTCACAGAGAATAGTATAAGGATTTACAGTCAAAATATAGAGGCTATTTTGGAGGGAAAAAAATTAGCTTGAGTTTCATGTCCTTGATATTGCTGGCCAAAATTAGCCACATACCTCAGACTACATTGGAGGCAGACAGTTCAATTAACCAAATATGGGGGAAAATAGCATTGATTAAGTAGAAATCTTAAAAAGTGGTTAATTACATTTCCTGGATAACTGAAGACATTTTGTATTTCAGCCCATCTTAATGAAAATCTAAATATATCAGGCCCTTTGCAGAGAACAGATCACAGTGCCTTTCTCTGTGTCCTTGAAGTTTATTTCATCGGGTTTCTCAGAACATATATACTGCATTCTTCAGTATCTCTGCTATAATTGTGATATTTAGTAATGATTCCTGATTCCACAGGAGAGATTGTTTCCTAAACGTTTGTAATCATTTCATGGTATGACATCACAACACTTGAAAACTTGTGTCACACTCAGGCATCTCTAACAACTGGAAATTTATATAATTTCAATTTCATTCTTCTTAACCTCATCAATGTCTTGTTCTGAACTTGTCTCTGTCTTATCCTGAACTTCATTTAAGTCATTTTGGGGTAACAGACATAGGGTTGTAAATGATTTCCTGGAAGGGAGACTGAGCACAGCCAATCCCCAGGGAGATGCCCAAAACTTCTAAACCCTTGTAGTTAATTTACACAATAGATTCTTGGCATTCATACATTTTCTCTTTCTACTGTAGTAGTTGTGGTTATTTTTAATTTTTCTCAGCTTATATTTAGAGTATATTAGTTCCTGTGGTTTCAAGCCAAATGTATAATTTCAACAATCAATAAGTGTAGATACGGTGACATTAATATCAATGCCCAAATCCCAGTCATTCTGAGCCTACTCTACTGTGTTCCCTCAGCCCTGCTTTTAGCAGGATAGTGATGTTTCTTATGGGTTTAGGAGAAAGTTCACTTATTTTCTATTGTTGGTATTCTTCAAGGCTTCTTCCCACTGCCCCTGCTTCACTGGGCATAGTCACCCTTACCTGCTGATTACCCAAGCCCACAGAGCCAGTGAGCTACACTTTAGTAAGCAGTAGACTACTGAGGGGAAAGAACTTGTCTACAATTCAGACTGTATCAGATGGACTTCAGAGCAGAGTCTCTTGAGCCTGGTGTCTCTCAGGTTTTGCCTGAGCACCATTTCCACATTTTCTGTTTTGCTTAGGAGTTCAAATCTGATTCCTTCACAGGGTGGAAAGAACATATGCCGTCTCATCCATTGTCTTCCTCTTCCCCCAGATGCTTCGAAGGAAGATAAAGAAAACCAACGGAGACAATAAGCTGCTCCTCCTTCATTTAGCCCATCTCACTGTTGACTTCTCCAGAGAAGATGCTGTAACAGAGTTTGAAGAACAAGATCTTTCTTGGAAATCAACACCTGTGAAAGAAAGAGGGTATAAGCAGAATTGTGCAGAGAAAGAAGGTGAACCCCAGTGTAGGCCCAACAGTGCATCTATTGATGTGGCAAACAGCAAAGTGAATGTTGCTTATCTGACTTTCTACATTGGACCTGTATGGGTAGGCAATTATATCCCTGCCTGGGTGAGTCACTATATGTAGCATCCCCAAGAAGGGCATGACCTCATCAAGGTAGTTTTCTGCAGTTGAGACAGACCATGAAGATGTCAGATGGAGCTGTGTACTGACAATACTCCTTGTAATAGAACAGCTACCCCTTCCTTGTTTCTTTGGCCCTCAAACAAAAAAGACCCATGCAGTTCTTTGGATAGAAATAAATATATAGATATTTGGGTGCTGCCTAAATCTTCTCCCAGAAGCATCTGAGCCCTCAGTTTCCACTGAGGTAAATTTAAAAATTGACTTTTTATTAAATTTAAGAGGGACACATTCAAAGACCTCTCTTTGAAAAACATGAAACGTGCACTACAGAATTCCTAACATTTACAGTAAGTGAAAGGACAGCCCATCTCAGTGATCACCCAGAACTGTGATTGTCCATGTCCTACCCAGACATAGGGTGGAGCCAGAGAACAGTGGTCCACTTAACCAGGCTTGAGCCTGGATTACAGTGTTAGAATACCTAGTACAAAGAGATCAGGAGTGGAGTGTTGAAATATACATTACAAAGAGAGAAAGCTGGGGAGCACAAGTGTTCAGAGTCAGATTGCTAAGTCAAGGTCATACATACCTACAATTGGAGATGAGAGGGACGGAATCATTTCAAGATGGAGAAATGTTGCTTGAAGCAATATAACACCAGAATGGCAAATTCTAACAAGATTACCTGAAATGTTTTGGCCTCTATCTTGACTTTCATTGGTCTAGTTTCAGCAGTAACATTGGTATAGTCTAACATTTTTAGGAACATACTATGTACAAGGCACTGTGTTGAATCCAGTATATATATTATTTTATTCATCTTTAATATAAACCTATGATTTGGGAGTTATTATGTCCATCATACAGGTGCATGAATTGATTCTCATTTACGTTAAGAATTTTCCCTAAGTCAACAGCTAGTAAACAGTATGACTTCTCTTCTCAGCCAGGTTCTACCGGACCCAAAAGGTACAAAAAAAGACCGACAATTGTGAGTCAGAGTGAAGATTTGGGTTAAATACAAGAAGCATTAAAATGATAAGAGTCATCCAAGCACAGAATTGGCTATCCTGGTGAAGATCTCTCCATCCCTGGAAGGGTTCCAACAAAGATAGGTGGCCATCTGTTATGCACATGGCAGAGGCACATTCTGACTGGCTGTGTGTGGTTGAACTTATGATTTTACAATACTCTTTCCAATCCGGAGGCTCTAATTTTAAATCCCTGGTAACCCCTGCAATTTCCATTGCAATCCTCTTTCTGAGGCATTATACAGCTGACATGCTTCTCTAATATTTTGGCTTTCTCTTGATGTAGAGTGGATATTTACAGTTAGCAATAAAATTTGGATACTTTATACTTTAATACAATTTGTACAGGAAAAAAATAGATGCTTAACTATACACTATGCCAGCATAACCAAGATAAAACTGGAACTTGCTAGTGTTTGCCTCTGTCCGGTGTCACATTCAGAAGAAATTCTAATTTAATATGAACAAATATTTGAAAATTGAAAAGGCTTTTTAAATCTGCAATTAAGTTTCAAAAAAAATAAAAATTTACCAAACGTAATACTAAGGAAAAGAGTAACTGCTTAAAACAATTTTCAAAATGTATTTTCCTTAGACCTCAAATGAATGATAGCTGTCCAATAAATATTCTTTTCAAAAGCCCCAACCTCTTCAAACTCCACTCCATGCCAAACTTTCCCACTCTCTTATGAGTCTATCATTTTGCCCTAAGAGCACCTCTCCTCTCTTTCTTGTTTAAAACAAGTCAATGAATGTTTCTTCTTCCTCCAATTCAACGTTTCACTCATTAACTCTTAGAAGGCAGAAAAGAAGGGTCTGAATATTCATGCTTTATTATTAAACTTTAGTGATATCTTTACAGACTCCATCAAAGAGGATAATATGTCTATTGCGCCACCTGTAGTTTCTTATCATCTACCACCTGAACCCCTTCTTCCTGAACATTCTTCTCATACTCCTACAGTGGGGTCATGTGAGATCTCCTAGAGGCTCATCTTTGACTGTATCCATTAAAGTTACTTCTAAACAGCCCAGGTATGAGTAACTAAAACCGAAGTCCAGAGTAGCAATCATGTTGTTTTCAGGTTCGGTGACCTCCCAATCCTGGTTCTTTTCCTCCTAAGAAAGGGGAAAAAAAAAAATGGAATGTCTATCAAGCTTGTTGCCCCATGGTCAGAGTGCCTCTCCTGATGTTTCTCTTCATCTTTAGTTTGTCCTTGACATTATCTTTTCCATGCTAGGGCCTAGAGTTGACCAGGCAGCATCATCCCTTGGGACTGATTTTATCATAGTGGAAGCAGCTTAGGAGGTGCAGCTTCTGGCTGTCCCTGAAGCATCTGCTTTTGGAGTTGAAACCACTTACCTGTGCCTACCTGGGCCATGCTTTGCAGGATCCAAATTCAGGAGGCTGTAACATGCCCTTAGCACCTCATATTCTCACGTATTACCTAGAGTTTTAGTCTGAGTTTTGCTATTTCATTTGTTCCCAGGGAAACATTATGGTCACCTTTTTTTCCTTTTTCCCCCTTTATCTAATTGGTTTTAGTAACAGCAAGAATTCAGTCATCTACTCATATAGGCGGTGAAGTCTGAAATAGTTTTTTAACTCTTGGCTATAAATTGCTACTGTGCTGACCTGATCTAAGGAGTTTCTGATCCTCCAAGCCATCTTCCACCACCTGCTGCCCAATTACCAGCTACAGATCTCCCTCCAGTCTAGAAGAGAACACAGCTTATAATTTACTTTTCCATCAATGTGCAGATATCAACTAAACACACACATTTCAGCCCCTGTTCACTATTTCTAGGAGTTTCAATCAGGCAGTTCACCAGGAAAATAGGTTGCAAAAAGTACATAAATAAATCCTAATCCAGGACACTATAGACTCTTAATTGCCAACATCTCTCCTCTTCCCTGCACCTCTTGGTTCACTGCAAGTTTACACACAACTCAATGTTTCATTTGCTTGCTTTTTTATTCCCACATTGTCATTATCATGTTCCCTGCACATTCAAGTTTCTTAGAGTAATAGTAGACTTGGGGTTATTTTGGTACAAGAATTATAACTTTACAAATATCATATAATTAAAGATTAATCCTGACACAGGCTATCAGGTCTTCCCATTTAACAGCTGAAGTCATGCTGCTCTGTGGCTCTCTCAAAGACAGTTTATAATTCATTAAGCCAACTTTCAAATTATGAAATTTTTGATGAATTGTTTTTAATTTTGGTGAGTCACAGAGTGTTAAATATTGTGCATAAAGTGAGACTTACTGATACTTTATATGACCGTATGTCTAATTTGTGGAATTCAAATTCACATAAAATGCCTATAACACAGATTCTACAATGTGCGTGATGGAGCACCATGGAGCTGGAGCTTAATTCTCAGGGATTTTGTCTCAAAAATCTGTTCCAGGAAAAAGTCTTGAATTAATCCATGATGTCTTCTACTGACTACCTCTTTCTTTTGAGAAAGATCTATAATTCTTTCAGATATTGAACATCCATAGAAACCAGGTTAAAACAATAGACATGTCTAGCCTAAAATTTACTGCAGTAGCCATGGAAATGCATGGCTCAAATCTCCTGCAGAAGAGAGAGTGGAGAAGCAATGTTGACAGATAGCCCCAGTGGCTGCTCTAATGAATGTCCAGCACCTCTGATGCCACGCTTTTCATGGGATACTCCCAGCCGATGACTGAGGACAATGAAGGGGCTAATGCAGAGTCCATTTCTGTGCATAGCAGGACTCCTCTAACAGGTGATTTGGCCCTTCTTGGAACCTCCTTCAGTCACTTAATTTGAGACTATTCTTACCCAATCCTCTTTCCAAATCCTTTCATTCTCTTCTTCTCTGATGTCAGACCCGCCATCCCAATTGGACAGCTCTCCCTGCCTTCTTCTGCTTCCTCCCCTTTACCCTTCCTAGATATTTCTCCTCCAATAAATCTTTTGGAGAGCTAATCTTATCTTTCCTTCTCCTGCTGTGCAGTCATGTTCTTTTGAATTACTCAGTTTAGTAAACATCCACTTTTTTTTTTATTATTATACTTTAAGTTCTAGGGTACATGTGCATAATGTGCAGGTTTGTTACATATGTATACTTGTGCCATGTTGCTGTGCTGCATCCATCAACTCGTCAGCACCCATCAACTCGTCATTTACATCAGGTATAACTCCCAATGCAATCTGTCCCCCCACCCCTCTCCCCATAATAGGCCCCAGTGTGTGATGTTCCCCTTCCCGAGTCCAAGTGATCTCATTGTTCAGTTCCCACCTATGAGTGAGAACATGCAGTGTTTGGTTTTCTGTTCTTGCGATAGTTTGCTGAGAATGATGGTTTCCAGCTGCATCCATGTCCCTACAAAGGACACAAACTCATCCTTTTTTATGGCTGCATAGTATTCCATGGTGTATATGTGCCACATTTTCTTAATCCAGTCTGTCACTGATGGACATTTGGGTTGATTCCAAGTCTTTGCTATTGTGAATAGTGCCGCAATAAACATACGTGTGCATGTGTCTTTATAGCAGCATGATATATAATCCTTTGGGTATATACCCAGTAATGGGATGGCTGGGTCATATGGTACTTCTAGTTCTAGATCCTTGAGGAATCGCCATACTGTTTTCCATAATGGTTAAACTAGTTTACAATCCCACCAATAGTGTAAAAGTGTTCCTATTTCTCCACATCCTCTCCAGCACCTGTTGTTTCCTGACTTTTTAATGATTGCCATTCTAACTGGTGTGAGATGGTATCTCATTGTGGTTTTGATTTGCATTTCTCTGATGGCCAGTGATGATGAGCATTTTCTCATGTGTCTGTAGGCTGTATGAATGTACTCTTTTGAGAAATGTCTGTTCATATCCTTTGCCCACTTTTTGATGGGGTTGTTTGTTTTTTTCTTGTAAATTTGTTTGAGTTCTTTGTAGGTTCTAGATATTAGCCCTTTTTCTGATGAGTAGATTGCAAAAATTTTCTCCATTCTGTAGGTTGCCTGTTCACTCTGATGGTAGTTTCTTTTGCTGTGCAGAAGCTCTTTAGTTTAATTATATCCCATTTGTCAATTTTGGCTTTTGTTGCCGTTGCTTTTGGTGTTTTAGACATGAAGTCCTTGCCCATGCCTATGTCCTGAATGGTACTACCTAGGTTTTCTTCTAGGGTTTTTATGGTATTAGGTTTAACATTTAAGTCTCTAATCCATCTTGAATTAATTTTCGCATAAAGAGTAAGGAAAGGATCCACTTTCAGCTTTCTACTTATGGCTAGCCAATTATCCCAGCATCATTTATTAAATAGGGAATCCTTTCCCCATTTCTTGTTTTTCTCATGTTTATCAATGATCTGATGGCTGTAGATGTGTGGTATTATTTCTGAGGACTCTGTTCTGTTCCATTGGTGTATATCTCTGTTTTGGTACCAGTACCATGCTGTTTTGGTTATTGTAGCCTTGAAGTATAGTTTGAAGTCAGGTAGCGTGATGCCTCCAGCTTTCTTCTTTTGACTTAGGATTGTCTTGGAGATGCCAGCTCTTTTTTCATTCCATATGAACTTTAAGGCAGTTTCTTCCAATTCTGTGAAGAAACTCATTGGTAGCTTGATGGGGATGGCATTGAATCTATAAATTACCTTGGGCAGTATGGCCATTTTCATGATATTGATTCTTCCTATCCATGAGCATAGTATGTTCTTCCATTTGTTTATGTCCTCTTTTATTTCACTGAGCAGTGGTTTGTAGTTCTACTTGAAGAGGTCCTTTACATTCCTTGTAAGTTGGATTCCTAGGTATTTTATTCTCTTTGAAGCAATTGTGAATGGAAGTTCATTCATGATTTGGCTCTCTGTTTGTCTGTTACTGGTGTATACGAATGCTTGTGATTTTTGCACATTAATTTTGTATCCTAAGACTTTGCTGAAGTTTCTTATCAGCTTAAGGAGATTTTGGGCTGAGACAATGGGGTTTTCTAAATATACAATCATGTCATCTGCAAAGAGGGACAATTTGACTTCTTCTTTTCCTAACTGAATACCCTTGATTTCTTTCTCTTGCCTGATTGCCCTAGCCAGAACTTCCAACACTATGTTGAATAGGAGTGGTGTGAGAGGGCATCCCTGTCTTGTGCCAGTTCACAAAGGGATTTTTTCCAGTTTTTGCCCATTCAGTATGATATTGGCTGTGGGTTTGTCATAAATAGCTCTTATGATTTTGAGATACATTCCATCAATACCGAATTTATTGAGAGTTTTTAGCATGAAGGGCTGTTGAATTTTGTCAAAGGCCTTTTCTGCATCTATTGAGATAATCATGTGGTTTTTGTCTTTGGTTCTGTTTATATGCTGGATTACATTTATTGATTTGTGTATGTTGAACCAGCCTTGCATCCCAGGGATGAAGCCCACTTGATCATGGTGGATAAGCTTTTTGATGTGCTGCTGGATCCAGTTTGCCAGTATTTTATTGTGGATTTTTGCATCAATGTTCATCAGGGATATTGGTCTAAAATTCTCTTTTTTTGTTGTGTCTCTGCCAGGCTTGGTATCAGGATGATGTTGGCCTCATAAAATGAGTTAGGGAGGATTCCCTCTTTTTCTATTGATTGGAATAGTTTCAGAAGAAATGGTACCAGCTCCTCCTTGTACCTCTGGTAGAATTCAGCTGTGAATCCATCTGGTCCTGGAGTTTTTTTGGTTGGTAGGCTATTAATTATTGCCTCAATTTCAGAGCCTGCTATTGGTCTATTCAGCGATTCAGCTTCTTCCTGGTTTAGTCTTGGGAGAGTGTAAGTGTCCAGGAAATTATCCATTTTTTCTAGATTTTCTAGTTTATTTGCGTAGAGGTGTTTATAGTATTCTTTGATGGTAGTTTATATTTCTGTGAGGTCAGTGGTGATATCCCCTTTATCATTTTTTATTGCGTCTATTTGATTCTTCTCTCTTTCTTCTTTATTAGTCTTCCTAGCAGTCTATCAAGTTTGTTGATCTTTTCAAAAAACCAGCTCCTGGATGCGTTGATTTTTTGGAGGGTTTTTTGTGTCTCAATCTCCTTCAGTTCTGCTCTGATCTTAGTTATTTCTTGCCTTCTGCTAGCTTTTGAATGTGTTTGCTCTTGC